GTCTTTTCTTTTTGGTACTGGGGATCGAACCCAGGACGTTGCGCTTGCTAGGCAAGCGCTTTGCCACTGAGCTACAACCCAGCCCCCCAGCCTGGATCTTTAATATACTCCCTCTTTATTTACTTAACGTTCATACAATGGTAATTACAGACTGCCACTGAGAGGATAAAACTAGGGGTGAACATGGTCAAAGTTCTTTATACACATATGGAAAACATAGAGTAGTGAACCTTGTTGAAACTGTTTTAAAAAGGAAGAATGAAGGAGAGTGAATAGAAGGTTAAACTGGGTTGGAGTATACATGTATGGAAATACCTAAACTAAGCCCTTTGGACATAAAATTTAGGATTGTGAAAATGGAAAATAATGCCAGTGAAGTTAGATATTGCTAAAATTTAAATGAAATTTAAATGAAGGGAATTTGTCAATACCTATCAAATTACAAATGCATGTATTCTATGACCGAACACTTCACTTCTAGCAATTTATTTTTATATTCATATCTTTGCAAAACAGCTTGAGAATAAGGTTATTCATTGAAGAGTTGTTTATAATAGTGAACAAGTTGAAAGTCTGTCCATAAACAGATTTCAAATACATAGAGCTTCATATGATGTAAAACTATATAGCTACACAGAGGAAAATGAGAACGTTTTCAGTGAACTGAAATGGAAATACACCGTGGGGCATTGGTGGCCCACATCTGTTCTGGCTATTCAGTAGTCTGAGATACAGAAGACCTCAGTTTAAAGCCAACCTGGGTAGAAAAATCCATGAGACTCTTACCTTTGATTAACCAGCCAGAAGACTGGCTAGTAGTGTGGTTAAAATGGTACAACATTAGCCAAGCAAACAGGCACAAGACACAAAGTTTAAACTTGAGTCCTGCTTTACAGAGAGAGAGAGAGAGAGAGAAAGAGAGAGAGAGCATTATAAGGCTACAGAAAAGTGTTCATAGTCTTCTTCTATCTGTATTAAGTACATTTGTATATTTGTTGTTGTATGCATAAGAATCTCAGGAAGAGGATGCACAGAAACCCTAAAATATGGATCATCTCTTGGGTTCAGGACCAAGATACTTAAGAGAAATGAGAACCACATTTGTCACACAGTATTTTATCATACATTTTGATTGTTAAACCATGTAATTAATCCTTTATTTTTAAACATAAATTTCCTATTGAGCTCTAAAGACATTTACAGTTTTGATGTGATGTATGTAGGCAATAAATAGCAAGGATTTGTGTCTTTCTAATCTCAAGAGTTTTTATTTAACATATTAAGAAGATTATTGAAAGAACTATCAGTAACAGCATGGGTCTTGGAAGTGTTATTCTAGAGTTTTTTGGTCTCCCTGTAAAGTTATGCAGACTTAGTTTTTGGCCTTAAATCATACTTACTTTTGACTTCCTTGAAATCAAGAATATCCTGGGTCATACCAATTAAAGCAAGTTAAAGCAATTAAAGGTGTTAAGTATGATCCTTGGAAAGTTTAATTCCTTATAAAAGGATGGCCTTCAATAGTTATAACCAATTAAGGATTTTCCCAACTATATTTCATCATAATTGGACAAGTCTACTATTCACGATCAATTACTGTGATCTTTCCAAAGGTGAAGATTTTAGGTTCAGGTTCATAAAAGAATAATTTGACCAGTCACTGGCAACCTCCATGACTGAACTGCAGCTTATATTGATAAAGTCATGGACATTACTTTTGTGATATTAATATTTAAATAATCAAGATATGCATCGCGATACTCTGGGTACAGTTCTTGCACTGCTCTTCTCATGGCTTTAGTAGAAAAATAAATTTAACCCAGACTGATCAGGAGAGAAGCAGACAGTGTCACTAATTTATATTGAACCAGATTTCCCCTTGTTGGTCATTTTACCATAAAATAACATTTATAGTATTTGCTTTCCTAGTGATTATTTGTTCTTATTGTGGTTCTAATTTAACCACTTCTCATATATAGCATACAAAATCAAGTCTTACTAAAGAATTGAATGCATTATGATTGTTTTATGGTAACAGAAAAATCTTGGGGAATGTTGCTTTGCCTCAAAAAGCAACATTAGGAATTTTCAGTATAGAACTGTTGGTTCTCATTGCACCACTCATTAAATTTTTAATTCATTGAATATAATCACCTAACAATAGTAGAGATGAAGTGTAAGCAGAAAAAATATAAATAACTGAAAACAGCTAGTACTTCTTTGCATATCTCAAAGGCTCATTGTTAGAATCGAATGAGATGACATGTACACATGTGTGTATACATATGTATAATTCAGATGTCTCTTGGTACCTGAGAGGGATTGACACCTCATAGCTATATCTTCAACCTGAAAATAATTTTTCATTAAATTTATGTTGCTACTAGGTGCCCATGGCTCAACGCTTATAATCCTAGTACTCTGGAGGCTAAGATCTGAGGATTGTGGTTGGAAGCCAGTCCTGGCTGGTGGGAAGGTCCATATGGCTCTTATCTCCAGTTAATCACAGAAAAAAACAGAAGTGAAGCTGTGGCTCAAGTAATAGAGCACTAGCCTTGATCAAAAGGAGTTGAAGCCCCAGGACCAGAAAAAATACATTGATATAAGCTAATTATTTGTTATTTTCAAAGAAATTAATTAGCATTTAAATTTTTGTTTTAACTTGTGATAGAATAAAATTTGCAAGATACAGTGACATGAGCAAAAACTTTACAGGGCCTAGGTAACATGTTTTTTTTTCTTTTGTGCCAATCTTGGGCTTGAACTCAGCCTGGGCAATGTCCCTGAGTTTTTTGCTCAAGGCCTCTTGAGCCACGCATTTCCAACTTTTCTTTTTTTGTGTATGTATATATTTTTTATTGTAAAAATACTGTACAGAGAGGTTACAGTTGCATGAGTAAGGTAATGGGTACATTTCCTATTGAGTACTGTTACCTCCTCCTTTGTTTTTACCCTACCATCCCTTCTCTCCCCACCTCCACACCTACTCCTCCCTCCTCCCACCCCCAAAGTTGTAAAGTTTGTTTTCAACATAGTGTCTTGTACATCTCATTGTTACAATGAGTCAACCTATACCCTTATCTCAGCATTTTATTTCCCTTCCCCTCTCCAAATTAGAAAAATGTACCTACAAGATGCAGGGCATTGGAATCAAATACAGTGCAAACAGGGGTTATACCATGGGGGAAGAACATACAAAGAAACAAAAATATCACATAGTACATTATAAGTACATTAAAAAACAACAGCAAGAAAGATAAAACCCTCGTGTGTCCCTCTCTTGGGGTTCATTTCATTTAACATCATCTTATATGGTCATATGTACATATCTTTTGAACTTTTCTGCTTGTCCTAGACATATACTAGTTATTGCAAATAAGGGAAACAATGGGACCTATGTTTCTTTGGGCCTGGCTTACTTTACTTACTATAATTTTTTCCAAGTCTTTCCTTTTCCTAACAAATGGGGCGATGTCATTCTTTCTGATGGAGGCATAGAATTCCATTGTGTATATTTACCACATTTTCTTGATCCATTCATCTACTGAGGGGCATCTGGGTTGGTTCCATATCTTAGCTATGGTCAATAATGCTGCAATAAACATAGTTGTGCTGGTAGCTTTAGTATAGCCTTTTGTGTAATCATTTGGGTAAATGCCCGGAAGTGGCATTGCTGGGTCATAGGGGAGCTCTATGTGGAGTCTTTTGAGGAACCTCTATACTGCTTTCCAAAGTGGCTGAACAAGTTTACACTCCCACCAACAATGCAGTAGGGTTCCCTTTTGGCCATATCTCTCCCAGCTTCTGTTGTTACTAGATTTCTCTTCTTTTGGAGGGAAGTTCATTGGAGATGAATTTCATGCATTTTTCCTGCCTGATCTGGCTTTGAACCCTGATACTCAGATCTCCCTCTCCTGAGTAACTAGGATTAGAGGCATGAGCCACCAGGGCCTGGCTTCTAGATAACTTTTTAAGAATGGAAAGAGGTTCTAAGATCAAAATGTTTGAAATTGTTGATGTATAGAACACTATGCAAATATGTGGCGATCCTGGTTGCTTACTAAGGCACTTGAGACTTTTCAAACAGTACAGCAGCAAGCACTCAGTCCTTCCACTACAGGGGATATTTGTTTATGGCACACTCTTCCTCCAAGGCAGTGTTGTATTAGACTGAACATTATGATTATGTACAACTTCATGTGTGGGTCATGAATCTTCTTTTTCAAGGCAAGGGTCCAAAATTTTCAGTTGTCAGATTCTCAGAATGTCCTAACTGAGGCATATAGTGATAGGAATTATAGATTACCTCTGGTCCCATTCTCTCCTCAAGAGAGTTGTGATCAAAACTTGGAAACTCCAAGAGGATGATGGGAAAACCTGAGAGCAGATACCAAGTTACACTTCCTGTTGTTTCTTGGATGACAGGTGCACACCACTAACTCTTTTTCTGTATAGATGGAAACTTGATCTTTTTGCCCTGGCTTGCTTCACCACAAGGTCTTCCCAATCTCAGCCTCCTATGTAGCTGGGATTGAAGTCATGAGCCAATAACATCAGGCTTTTAGACAATTTTAAACTATAAAATATACTCTTGGTTTACTATTTTGTTCCATGAGTTAATGTATAATGCTTTTAACTCCTATTACTGAGACTACCTTCCCTGATTATTTACATTAAAATTGAGGATATAATATAATATTGAGGATATAATTTACTCTAAACTAAGGCTTCTAAAATTTTTAATTATGAAATTAGTTTTAAGCTTACAAAAATTTTGGTTTGGGAATTTTATGATATAAGCGTATTTGTATAAGTAAATTCTTTCAAATTTCTTCAATTGTTACCATTATAATTCTTACAGTGTAAGAAATATTTTGGGGTGAACTAAAACTATAAAATGCTATTTTATGTTAGCAGCATCTTGTAAAAATTGGAATTAATTTGGTTTGATTAAACCTTGCCTTATTAGATTTTAATGTGCTGCATGTTATGTATTTCAGAAACTCCAGAAAGGAACTTAATGACATACGATTTGAGTTTACTCCAGGAAGAGGTAAGCTTTAATTGAAATTATTATTTTAGTGCTACAAACAGCATTTCAGAGATTGATTACCAGCATGTGGTTTACAATTTCCTATTAAAAAAAACGCTTTGTCTAAACACAAAGGACGGAAAAGAGAAAGGATGATAGGAAGAAAATGCTTGTGCTAATTGCAAGGTTTTTGAACTGAATCACTACTGACTACATAGATCCCAGTGACACATGTGACACAGTGTATATACACATGGAAATTGGATCTGTTAGTTCAGCCATGGAAGTAAGTACTGGGATGGCAATACAGGGCCTAAGGGAAATCAAGATGAGTACAGTGAGAAGCATTCGGCTTCCTAATGAGGGTGAGCTGCATTGTGTCATCCCAAAGCCAATGTATTTTGCCTCTTTGACCTCAGTTTGGTTACACAAAGCCTCTTCTGAGGAGTGACTGTGGCCTGGCCTCTATGGGTTGTAGGTATGAATGCAGTGCAAGTATTGGAAATACGTTATTACAACTTCCTATTGTCCAGAATGGTTGTTCCTTCATGTCTGGATGTCTGAAGTAAGAGGCATGTAGGATTATTATGTTTTCTTGCATTTTGCAGAGAGCCTAGTATGCAAGTAAAAGTCAAGATATCTCTGTGGATTGACAGATAAATAATAACAAATAGTTTCCAGAGATGAAAAGATTAGTAGTTTTTAAGAAAAATTTGTTTTCGTTAGTTTGTTGGTAACCAAAATAACTTAGAGAAGTAAAACTCAAGATACTCATGCTAAGATTAAAGCTGTTTCCTAATAGTTATTTTAGCTATTGGAGTTTCACATACATTTCAAACTCTGAACAAGAATTTCTGGTTTGATAGCTGGTCAGTCAGTAAACTTCTTTGACCTTTTGATTATTATCACCTTCCAAGAACACTACTCCAGTGTCTCTAGGAGCCAAAGTAAAGGAGGGCATTTCAGGAATATAGATTCCTGTCTAAATACATTCATGTTCAGAATTTTTTAATGCTTTTAACAAAAGCCAAATGGAGTATGTTGATCCATATCTGGTCACAGGTTTGCTCTGATTCTGATAGCTATTCCTCTGTAAAGGCAAATGATTTTCAGTATTTTTGGATTAAGCCCAAACATGAAATATGGTTTACAAAATAAATATCTTCAAGGCTGTAATGAGTTTGCTAATTGATTTTTTTTCTTTCCGGGTATACCCATCTGTAACAATTTAAAATCTGTCTATGAAATTGTATAGCACCAGTCAGGGTTATCAAAAAGACATTCACTTTGTCATAATTTAAAAATATTGACCAGGCAGGTTTTTTTAATAAAATATAGCAAGTAATTACATAATAATTGTTTCAAGTAGAGTAAGTAAAAAGAACAGATTGTTATTTTAAGGTTGTTTCTTTTCATTTGATAGTTTAAAATTGACTATAGCAATGAAAATTAATTTTAAGAGGTAAAGAAATTAGTTTCTGAGTTAAGGATATGTTTGTATAAGTTGGCTCTAACAGCCTTACTACCCATTTGCAGGAGCCTTGGCAGCCCCATTTGCTGGGAATAGATGAAGAGTTTCTGCTTTTGTTGCTCAGACAACCATTAATTCTGACTTCCTATACTGGGCAGGGGGCATAAACTTGTTATGGTTGGAAATCTAGTGTTGGATGGCTGTACCAGTGTAACTCCTAATGCTGTCTGCATTTCAGATTGTCTACAGTGTGTCTGTGCATGCACACCACATATTCACTGTATCTGTGCTGCACGTAAGCATAAACAAGTATATGTGGCTGAAAATGTAACAGACACAAAATATTTGCTGCTCTCTTTTGAGCATAAGCCTTTTTTTGCTCTGTCTTGTGTAGTCTGGAAAGCAGATGTTAATATATTATTACTTGTGTAGATATTAGGAACTGCTAAACAGCTTTAAGAAAGAGAAAATTACCAATGTAACATGAAATAATTATTTCATTTAAATGTTATAAATTATTATGTGCATACTAAAGGACTATTACTCACAGACAGAGGATTGGTAAGAGTAATTCCCATTGTGGCCAGTTAGCACTAACCACTTGCAATTTATCTGGTGTCCAAGAGTCCTAAAAATAGAAGAACATGTTGCATACCTTAATCATTTGGAAAAGTCTATTGCTTTGGTACCACTTTTTTTAACTAGTCTTCAAATGCAGCTTTGCTTATACTTTTTAACAGTATTCTATGGTCATAGTTCCTAGTCACAAATACAATTTTATTGATGTTTAGAGATATTGTAACTCACTGAAATTCTTCAAAAATGATTGATCAATGAAAATGTAATGACTGCTTATGATATGCCTTGCATACTGGGTGTTGGTCACTTCAATACTCTTCTGAGCAGTTGGATGGCATCCAAAGAAGACAGGAACTCTGTTTTTATTTTTATTTTGTGTCAGTAGTGGGGCTTGAACTCTGGGCCTGGGTGTTGTCCCTCAGCTCTTCAGCTCAAGTCTAGCACTCCATCACTTGAGCCACAGCACCACTTCCAAGATGGGGATTCTAAGACTCAATAGTCTATCATCTTCACAAAATTAACTTACCCTCAGAATAGTCTTTAATTCTCTTACCCTCAGGTCCATGATATGGGATCATATGATCACAGAGATTTTTCTTTTTTTGTACATTTTTTTATTGTAAAAACACTGTACAGAGGGTTACATGAGCAAGGTAATGTGTACATTTCCTATTGAGCATTTTTGCCTCCTCCTTTGTTTTTCCCCTAGCAGGCCTTCCTTCCCACCTCCACAACTATCACCTGCCCCCCTGCCAAGTTGTAAAGTTCATTTTCAACATAGTGTCTTGTACATCTCATTGTTTCAATGGGTCAACCTGTATCCCTATTTAAGCATTTTGTTTTTTCCCTTCCCCTGCCTGAATTAGACAAGTGTGTATACAAAATGCAGGACACCCACGTCAAATACAGTGAAAACAGGGGTTATACTGTGGGGGAGGAATATACAAAGAAACAAAAATATTATCACATGTTACATTATAAATACGTTGGAAACAATAGCAAGAAAGAAAACAAATATTTGTGTCCCGATCTTGGGGTTCATTTTGCTTAACATCATCTTATATGATCATATGGACATAGCTTTTGGCCTTTTCTGCTTGTCCTACGCATGTACTAGTTATTGCAAATAAGGGAAACCATGGGACCTATGCTTCTTTGGGCCTGGCTTACTTCACTTACTATAATGTTTTCCAAGTCTTTCCATTTCCTAAAAATTGGGACGATGTCATTCTTTTTGATGGAGTCATCAAATTCCATTGTGTGTGTGTGTATACACATACATATATATACATATATACATACACACACACACACACACACACACACACACACACACACACACACACACTGAGGGGCATCCGGGTTGGTTCCATATCTTAGCTATGGTAAATAATGCTGCAGTAAACATAGTTGTGCTGGTAGCTTTCGTATGGTCTTGTTTGTGATTGTTTGGGTAAATTCTCAGAAGTGGTTTTGCTGGGTCATAGGTGAACTCTGTGTGGAGTCTTTTGAGGAACCTTCATACTGCTTTCCAAAGTGGTTGAACAAGTTTACACTCCCACCAACAATTCAGTAAGGTTCCCTTCTGGCCACATCCCCTCCAGCATCTGTTCTTACTAGATTTCTTGATTATAGCCATTCTAACTGGGGTGAGGTGGAATCTCAATGTTGTTTTGATTCGCATTTCTTTTATGGCTAGAGAGGTTGAGCATTTCTTCATGTGTCTATTGGCCATTTTTATTTCCTCTTCAGAAAAGTTTCTTTTTAAGTCTTTAGCCCATTTATTTATTGGGCAGTTGTTTCTTTGAGGATTTGTTGTTGGGAGACTTAATTTGTTGAGTTACAAGTATATTTTAGATGAGACCCTTGTCCATTGTATGTCTAGTGAAGACCTTCTCCAGTCCGTGGGCTTTCTATTTATCTTGCTATGTCTTTGCCATGCAGAAGCTCTGCAGCTTCATGCAATTCTATTTGTCCATCCTTAATTTGATTTGTTGTGTTTCTGAGTCTCTATTAAGAAAATTTTGGCCTGTGCCAAGGAGACCTAGGGTTTCTCCTATTCCTTCCTGTAATGTTTTCAGGGTGTCTAATTTGACTCCGAGGTCTTTGATCCATTTGGAGTTGATTCTGGTGCAGGGTGATATATAAGGATCTAGCTTTAGTTTTCTACAAGTATTTAACCAATTTTGCCAGCACCTTTTACTGAAGAGGTTGTCTTTCTTCCATTCTATTTTTTTTAGCTCCCTTATCAAGGATTAAGTGGCTATAGGTCTGTGGGTTCATTTCTGGGTGTTCAATTCTATTCCATTGGTCCTGAGGTCTGTTCTTGTGCCAGTGCCAAGCTGTTTTGATTACTATGGCTTTGTAGTAGAGTTTGAAATGTGGTATTGATATTCCTCCAGCATTGTTCTTTCTGTTAAGGATCGTTTTTGCTGTTCAGGGTCTTTTATTGTTCCATATGAACTTTTGGATTGCCTCTTCTATTTCCTTGAAGAATGAAGTTGGAATATTGATAGGTATAACATTGAATTTATAGATAGCCTTTGGAATATTGCCATTTTCATGATGTTGACCCTTCTAATCAAGGAGCATGGGAAGTTTTTCTACTTCCTAAGTTCTGCTTTAATTTCCTTTTTCAGGTTAAAGTTTTCATCATAGAGGTCCTTCACTTCTTTAGTTAATTCCTAGGTATTTTATTTTTTGTGGGGCTATTACGAATAGAGTTGCTTTCCTGATTTCAGCCTCACTCTTCTCATGTTGGCATACAGAAAAGCCATTGATTTTTGGGGGTTAATTTTATACCCTGCTACTTTGCCAAAGTTTCAAATCAGCTCAAGTAATTTAGGAGTGGAGTCCATGGGATTCTTTAAATAGAAGATCATGTCATCTGCAAAGAGGAAGAGTTTTACTTCATCTTTCCCTATTTGGATCCCTTTTATGTTTGCATCTTGTCTTATTGCTGTAGCTAGGCATTCTAATATTAAGTTGAAGAGTAGTGGAGAGAGTGATGTCCTACACATAGAAAACTAACAAAAACACAACAAAGTCCAAGAAACCACACTCAGACTGAAAGTATTCTTATATGTCTGACAAAAGAGTACAAGGCCTAACACAAGCCTGCCTTATATGGATTTTCATGATTTATCAAGATCTATGTGCTTATTCATATTCTATTTTTATTATGGAATATAATCAGTAAAGTGGTAGGATAACACATCTTTGGAAATATAAAAAATAAACAGCTTTCAATTTTTTATTAGAAATTTTACTTGGGGAGTTCAACTACATATGAAAAGGAGGAATAGCATCCACAGGAGTGTAAGGTACAGAGATTACTTCTGGCTGTGCCATCATCATTATCCCTATTACCATTTTTTAAGTATTTACTTGGTCAGACACAGGGACAAGCACTTTAAATCCCAAGAACTACAAAAGACAAGGAACCTCCAGCTGCACACTTCCATATATCTATAATGGCCATATCTCACTTATGCTTAGGGAAGCTTCTGACTTGACAGACTGCTGTTCAGCTTTGATGCTTGCATGATTCAGCAGCTATACTTGGGAAGACACTCTCAGATCATCATCCACACTGTTATGTTCTGCTCATATCCAGCAATTGTTCTGGAAGCCAGAGAAGATCAGAAGGCTTTGGGGACAAGTCATCTCCTTTGAAAAAGCACAGGGTCTTGTATGCTTTTTTTTGATCATGTTGCACTTTCTCAGTTCTCCTTCACAAAGTCTTCAAATAAAAGATAACAGAGTTGGGGGGGAGTTGGAGAGTAGAGGAGGGAAGGGATAGTGGGAGAAAAAGGAGGAGGTAACAATGCCTGACGAGAAATGTACTCATTACCTTACTGATGTAACTGTAACCCCTCTGCTCAGCATCTTTACAAGAAAATAACATTTAAAAAAAGAAGATAACAGAGCTATCATGTTCATTCACAACCTTTCAATTAAGTAATTTCAGTTACATTCACTTGTCACAGCCTGTTCTGTCCTATCTTTATGAGATTGCCAACCCCAGTCACTTACCACTGTGAAAACACATTATTTTACTCAACTACATTTTCTAAGAGAATGAATCTGTTGCTATCAAATGATCAATGTCATGTTAAAGGAGTTCCTTGAGAGCATAAATTCAAATAGTTCATCTTAATGGCCCAACAAGCTGGTGGACTGTTTATACTAAATCTAAGGTTGTATCAGATGTTACCCATTCAACCTTTGCCATAAATTCTGACTCACTAGCTTCTAATGATAGAAGGGAATTGATGATAGACAGGATTAACCTTGTCAAGAAAGAAAAACAGTGTCATAGGAAGTCTTTATATCTTCTAGAGATATACCTGAGAATTGATTCAGATCGTGGTCAGAAGGAAAAAGTTTCTGTACCAAAAATGAAAAAAGAATTATGTGTAGCATATGTTGAATAAATAGCAAGATGTAAATTGTACTTGAGAAACTGTGTTTCATGTTGCTTCTGATTTTTTTCTCCTGATAGAGTCTGAATTGTTAAATTAAAACTCAGGTAATTTTATCAAATGAAAAGTATATATTGTACATTGTGGTGGGTTGTTGATTTTTAATTTTTTGGTTACTAACATATTCATTTCACTTTTTTACAGATACGGCAGATGGTGTATCTCAGGAGCTCTTCTCTGCTGGCTTGGTTGATGGTCACGATGTAGTTATAGGTAAATTGTTTTTTGTATACAGTGTCATTTTATTGATATATCATATGGAAATGTATTTAGAACAAAAATATTCATTAAGAAATAAACAGTTCACTCTGAATTTTTGAAAAATTTTCATTAATTATAATCTTATGTGAAAGGGTATGTAATAATCATATTTTATTGTCTTTCTTCATAAGCTCTTAATGTGATTCTCTATCTCTTTCTCATACACTGAACATAAATATATCTAATGAGATGCCTTACTCATTGGATATACCACAAATAATGTAGAAGATCCCAAAAGCCTATAATCTATCAAACATCAGGTGGTGTAAATTCTGTGCACCAAAGTATGGGAACCTCCAGACCACTTTTTCAGAGTTTCTTTGATCTTCCTATTCAACTTTGATGTTAACTGCCCCAGCTGTTAGCAGCAGTCATCACAAAGTCTTGAGGTTAGGGGAGGAGCTTAAAGATCAGTCAGGCTAGACATTTTGTTCTATAGTTTAGAAAATGAATTCCTAAAGAGATTCAGTGCTTTGGGTTGTGGAAGAATCACTTTACTCTGAAGCATGGGCCTTTCTATCACATTTAGAATCAAAAGAAAGCTGCATGGAGCCAGGAAAGCCTGCTAAGCTTGGGCATGCCTACAAGACTAAGCAAGCATGCAGATGTGCCAAGGTAAATGAGGTAGAAAATCCGTAAAGTGTAGACAGGTATCATATGGTTTTGCCTAAACAATGTTAGGGTATATATCTGTTATATTGTAACATACTTATAGTTATGTAGTTATATAGTTATAACAGTATAAATAGCTTGTGTGGGCATCACACCAAAGACTTTATAGACAGTGTTTTATGTTTCATTTGATAATTACATCAGTTATCTCAGATAGAGAGGATTGGTTACTTATTACCACTATTTTGTTGGCAAAAAAAAAAAATCCCTAAGGTTAAAAGACGTGGAGGTTAAGTCAAATGTGGAGATCCTTAAATTTGTATCCCCTGAACTTCAAGTCCTTGTCCCTCATTCTAATATCCTATATAGGTTATCTGCTGTCTCCCACCATATTAAAATATGGTTTAACTACAATATGTAGCCAGAAAGTGTCTGTTTCTCTATAGTGCAGAAAAACATGGATGGATCCAGGAAATTTTTAATGATAGCAATTCTTGTGTGTCCCAGGAATAAAACAGTTTAAAGCTGATGTCATTTTAATTGTCCATTAGTTGACAGATTAAATGTTTGATCCTCTCCCCCCTAACCAAGAAAGTTCTGCTTCCCTTGTTTTCTACTTCTTTCTTCACTGTATATGTGTCACCAATGTATGGCTATATTTTCATTTTTCCCATTTTAAAAAAAGAAAGGCCTTCCCTTAACACTACATCTTGATGCAGCTATTTTCCTCTATCCTTTTTTAGCTAAAATTCTCAAAAGATTTGCCCTTGCTTTTAATTCCTTTCTTTTTTTACTTTGTCTCTGGAGCCCACTTCAGATAGATTTTTGACCTCTCCAGTCCACTCAAGCTGTTTAATTTTTCCTTCAAAACTTTGTCCGGTTAAGATTAATCTGGCAGATGAGATGGCAGATGCAGAGTTGGCTAGGGCAGAATGAAGAGTGAGCAAGCTGGGAAGTAGCAGACCTATGCTGTGAGCATGACTGCCAGCTCCTATATCTGAGTTTTTTCTCAGTCCTCATCTTTCCTGACCCTTAGCAGCACTGGAAATAGTGGACAGGGCCTTCTCCCAGTTTTTAGAATTCCATCCTTTCTTGATCTTCTCACCATACTGGTATTTTCTTCTCAGTCATTTTTTTAGCACTGTTCATTTTGCTGACCTGTAAATCTTAATGTGCCCAAGCACTCTTTCCCTGGGCTATTTCTCTTTCCAATAGGCACCAATAGGATGGTCAGCTCATCCAGTTTCATGTATTAAATGCCTTCTATTCGCTAACTCATACGTTTATATCTCTGACTCAGACTTCTCCTTTACATTGTAAAAGCATATCCAGCTCCCATTTTAGCATTTTTACTGCAAGGGCAATAGATCATCCAAATTTTAACTCACATCTTCAAAATCCAGCTCTTGGTGTTTCCTTCCAGCCTGCTCCTACAAGTAGTCTTATACTCTTGGGTGAGTCAGCTCCAATTTTCCAGGTGCTTAGGCCAATATCTCAGAGGTGTCCCAGATTCTTTCTCTGTCCTCTTCATCCTGTTCTCCATCTCCACAGTGAGAGAGAACCTGGTAGTAAGTCAGAAACAGAAGGCCATGTGATTCCATATGAGAAATATCTAGAGCTGGAGACAGCATAGAGATTCTAACTTTTCTCTTTTTAAGATGTGGGTCTTCTGTGGCTCAGGCTGCCTTCAAGCTTTCTGTATATTCTAGACTACACTCAGACTCATAAACCTCCTGCCTCTGCCTTTCCAATGCACCTCCACACCTGGCTGACCATCAGGTTCTTGGTGGCCAGAATTCTTATCTACTTCCTAAAGTGCTACGTGTGCAGTGCCCCCAACATAGTCATTTCTCATAGTGGGCCCTCAGTAAACACTTGTCAGCGATAAACAAATTCCATTTTGCAATACACAGATAGCTCAGAATGCTTTCTTCAGAAATAAAGTGTACTTTTGAATATAGGATACCATAAAATTCAAGTAGCATTTCCAAAAATCAAATAAACTCACTTGAGGAAGGCTATGTAAAAGAAAAATCCCATTCTTATAGAGGTTTGAATGATTTCTTACATGTGTATTTCTTCTACTTCTATAATATAAAATTGCTAACATTTAAATAGATTAAAAATCTTGTATTTTTCCCATCAGCATTTTCTTTTGACTTGATATAAATGCTTATAGCAGCATGAAAAAGCTAAAAAAAGCAATAGCATCTATTTTGCAGCAGTGAATGTTATGGCTTTTACCATAACATAAAAAACATCGGTTACAAAAAATTCTTCATTACCTGGCTTCAGGGCAATCTACAAACCTTTACAAAGCACAGTTTGCATTGAGGACGGGCTTGTGTAGTGACATGCAATGACTTCTTTTGTGAAGGAGCTGGAGAGAAATGGAATGCAGTGTTTGTAGTATAAAATCATAAGCCCTGTTCAGTTGTGCTTAAATTCAGCACTACCATGGGCAAGAAGCCGGAAATGGTTTTAGGCATTGTATAAATAGACATTCAGAAGATTGTCAGTACCTTCTGGGTGGGTGTTGGTTTAAAAAAAATGTTTGTGGGTTGAAAAAGTCGATGATACGCATGTATACTATTTGCTTATCTTGCCTAGCTGGGTTGGCTAAAAAATGTAAATAGACCAGATCTGAGCCTCTTTTCCATATATTTCAAAGAGGATTCCCAAGGAAGACTGATAGTGTGAAGCTGCAGAGAAATGCCTTCCCCTCCCAGTTAAAAAGAAGCCCATTAAAAAGAAGGTTTTTCTGCAAGGCAGCACAGGCGGGAAAATAGAACAACAAAAAATTCAAATGTGAAAGAAAACATTGATTCTAAATACTGTTCAGGACTTGAGATACATGGTGTTTTTCTTTCTTTTTAATGAGATTTAGGACTTCAGCATCAGGAGGATGATTATGAGGGGGTAGGTTAAAGTGAAGCAGTTGTATTACTTGCAGTCTGCCAGGCCCAGTGGTAGACTGTGTGAATGTGTAGAAGAAGAAGCTGTTTGGCAGATGTCTTCCAGAGGAGTGAAGACTGAAGGCTCTTGCTAGTTTTTTATGTCACCGTTTCCTGACTTTACTGTAACAATGTATGTCTATTTCACTGAAGAGCCAGATGTTAGAATTTCTGTCTCCTAAGAGGGAAGCCGTATTTTTGCATTCATTTCACAAAGTTTTCCTCCTATAGATTCTGAGCCTTGCTGACTAGCTGTCACTAAAGCAAAGTTTCTTTGGATAGCATATGTTCCCATAAGCTCTCTGTGGGACCTTATGAACATATTGTTTATGTGCATGGAATGCTCTTTGTCTGCTCCTGAAGAATTGTGTTCAAAACCTATTTGCCTTGCAAGATATGACACCTCCATGTGGCCTGCCCTGCTGCCTGTCACTTCCTTACCACAATATGGAGGACAGCTTATTCTTGTCTAGAATCCCTGAGAAATAGACTTTTACCATTTTGTGGCATGCAGTTTTCATCCTGCTGTACTACCTAGTGCTATCTTTTAGGACCTGTCTTCCCTGTTATGATTATCCTTGCCACACATAGGTGCTGAATAAATAGGATAACAAGATCCATTTGATGAACATGTGAATTAATACATTTGGACAATTCAAAAATACCTAAAAATGAAAGTCATCATTTTCTCATTTTTTCTTTTCTCTGTGGCCCCTGTCCTTCCTTTCTCCCTCTCTTCTCTCTCCCTCTCTACTTCCCTTACTTTCCTCCCTCTTCTTCATTCTTCTCTCCGTACTCTCTCCCTCTCCCTCCATCCTTCTTTCTTCTTCCCATTGCTTTTTTCTCTCAGGAATTAACTTAGCACATGACTTTTGAGTTTCACTTTGGGGCAAGGAAATATAGTTGACTTGGGGAAGGGGGGGTGGTCTTTTATCTGTTAGTGCTTCAAAGGTGGACTGTGAGGTCTTCACATCAGTATCTTACCAGGGAAACTTACTAAAAATGTATATTTGGGAGGGAACAGGTAGGGAAGAGCAAGTTCCAGCATTAGAAGTCTTGGGCTGAGGATTTAGAAGCTAGTACTTTAAACAAACATCTCAGGTACATCCTAGAAAAAGTAGAATTTCATGGGCATATCTTTAGTGTCTACTTGAAGCACTTCAAGAACTGTTTTGAGATCCTTTTATCTCATGTGCCTTCCCAATATCACTTACCTCTTTAGTTTTTTTCTACCTCGTTTGATTCTCTTCCCTTTAAGAGTCTGCTTTGAAACCATGCCTGCTAATGTTTTAAATTATGTGTTTGTGTAGATGGTGCATATGTGAAAGACCCCTCATTGGTTTATTTTTACCATAATGAGTAGTTACAACTTTATTAAAACTAATA